TAACAAGCACATCCAAAGCTGTGCCGTTCTTTCTCAAATTCAACAAAGAACAACAAACACATTAAAATCGTGCCGTTCTTTCCTTGCGATTCAGACAAGTTCAAAGAATCATCAAACAGCACTGTTCGAGATCAAGCTTCGTCAGCCCTTGATCAAAAATCATCGGCAATCTTCTTCAACTACAAATACTTGAAGAAGATTGTCAACAACACGATTCAAGATCAAGCTCCAACAGCCCTTGGATCCAACCAACAAAGGAGATCGAATCAGAGGATACTTTCTTTCTTTTGTAAAGAATATCTCAGAGGATTGTACTCAATTTTCATAAATTAATAAAATTCTATTTGCTCCCTATTTTGTTCTTTATTTGCAAACTACGAAATTTGTGTGTACAAATTTTTGGCACGCCCAGTGGGACACCCTCTGCCTCTCATCTCTTTCTCCTACATCAAATCCTCAACAAATTCATCATCAGATTCTATCTAACAAAATTCAGACAAAGAACAAGAATACCCCCAAGGACATCGCAGTCGTGACGGACAACATCATTACCACCGCAAAAGGTGGCAAGAAGGTTGCAACTTCATCAAGTGGTACCAACATCTTTGCAAGCCCAATGATGCGGAACATAACCAAAGCATCCGTTCCAACCAAAAGGCAACACGATGCGGTAAAAGTAAATTCCGTCAAATCCGCCAAATTTGTCTACTTAACAACTCAAGCTCATACCGCCTTTACCTCGCTGGGGGCAAGGACGAAGGTTCCTACAACCTCAAAGGTTGCTCTAGACACAAGTTCAAGCTTAAGGCTGGTCCCAAGGCCACAAATCTCCTCTAACTTAGTCATTATGCAGTCATGATGACAATTACTACCTCGTACGAAGAGCAATTGGCAAGTATGGCCGGTGCAATTGAAAGATTACAACACTCTCTCAAGGAGTAAGATCTGAAAATTGCCTCGCTGACAGAAAAGTTGAAATTGCATGACGACAATGCTGAGTCAAGCAAAGGCAGAATTCCTTCTGATTCCATGCCAGAGATCACTCCAATTGAAGATCAAAATGTCATATCCGCCAACCACGCAATTAAAGATGCCTATGTCGCCTCACTTTCTGTCCAACAACTTCAAGACATGATAGGGAGTTGTATAAGAGAACAATACAATAGTGTATCTCAAAGTGCTCGCATGTACTCAAAGCCTTACACAGAAAGAATTAACATCTTAAAAATGCCGGTTAGGTATCAACCTCCAACACTTCAACAGTTTGACAAAAAAGGCAATCCCAAGTAACATATCGCACACTTTATATAAACTTGCGACAATGCTGGTACAGACGGAGATCTCCTTGTCAAACAATTCATTCGTTCCCTCAAAGGGAATGCATTTGATTGGTACACAGACCTCAAAGCTAGAGGTATTGACAGTTGGGAGCAGATGGAACGAGAATTTCTCAACCGTTTCTACAGCACTCGTCGTACTGTAAGTATGCTGGAGCTTACAAACACAAAACAGATGAAGGGTGAACCCATGGTTAACTACATCAACCGTTGGCGAGCTTTAAGTCTTGAATGCAAGGATCGTTTGTCTGAAATTTCTGCAGCATGCATGCAAGGCATGCACTGGGAAATTCTTTAAATCCTACAAGGGATTAAGCCTCACACATTTGAAGAGCTTGTTACTCGAGCCCACGACATGGAGTTTAGCATGAAAAATCATGGTGCTAGGAAAGATGTTCCAGATATACCCGACAACCTTCAAGAAGATAAGGGAAGTGAGTCCGAAGAAAAAGACAATGTACTTCATAACTCGGATGATGAAGTAGTATCATCTTTCATTATAAGCATCAACTCGAGAGACTTGCATCAAGAAGCGCACCATGCTACAACAATGACTTCAACTGAAAGTGCTAAATCACAGGGGGCATTAAGTCAAGGAAACCAAGAAGAAAATCCTCAAAGTGATGACAAGATAGTCCATACCCTTCAACATAGGTTTGGATTGCCGTCTGATTCTTGCAAAGTTGAAGAATAATAAAAATTGAACTGCTCTCAGATACGAGCCCAAACTGTCATCTTGAAAAAAAATGACACTCCTTGACACGAATTTATACTGTCTACCTGAAGGGAAAAAAACAACACTCCTTGGCACGAGTATAAATTGTTCGCCTGAAGAAAAAAAAAAATCAAAAACTCTTTGACATGAGTATAAACTGTTTACAAAAATAAAAAATAAAAAATAAAAAATAAAAAATTTGAACTACGTGATGACTTGATCCCTATTCAGGGTACGTAGGCGTCTTGGAGGTCTGTTCCAAGTTCAGTCAACCCAACAAAAAAAAAAAAATCTTAACAACGCTCCTTGATACGAGCATAAACTATCTTCAAATTCAAATTGATCCATGTCAAACTCAAACTTGGACTACTTCCAAGCCTTCAAAAAAAATTAGAAAAGGTAAAATCAACAACGCTCCTTGATATGAGCTTAAATTATCTTCAAATTTCAGGCCAGTCCACACCGAACTCAAGCTTGGATTACATAAGGCTTTGCCAAGATAAGGTGAAGCTCCATCTTCAAAGAGGATTACACTAGTGCAAGCCGTCAACTCCAAATCAAGCTCTGTCTTCGAAACTAATGCATAAGTGCACTTGTACACAGTCAAGTTCTTATGGAGATTATGTTCAAGCCCACTTGCGTAAGCTGTTAACTTCAAGTCAAATTTCACATTCGAGAGTGATGTCTAGATGCACAAGAATATAAAGTCAAATTCTGGTGGAGTTTTGTATTCAAAGGCGGTTCATACTTGTGCAACATGTCAAGATTCTGATGGAGTTTTGCTGAAAAGTTTGTCAAGTTTACTTTATTTGGGATCTTGGTCAGAATTTGATTGCCTTCACCATTCACTTCATTCTTGACTTTTATCAAAGTGGATTTCTCTGTATTATAATAATAAAAAATAAAATAAAAAGAAGCGGCGGAACTCATTGGTCCTGACGGACTAGTAAAGATGTGATCCAACTGAACAATGGGTCCTAACGGACTAGATGCGTTCCAAAGGAATAATGGGTCCTGACGGACTAGATGCGTTCCAACGGAACAATGGGTCCTGACGGACTTGTAAAAATGTGTTCCAATGGAACAATGGGTCCTAACGGACTAGATGCATTCCAACGGAACAATGGGTCCTAACGGACTTGTAAAGATGTGTTCCAACAGAACAATGGGTCCGGACGGACTAGTAAAGATGTGTTCCTTGAGATCATAGGTTCTGTTTTTATTTGTATAGCTTGGGACGCGTTCCCCTTTTAAACGCTTTCTAATACATTTTACTTATCAAAAAAAAAGATGTGTTCCAACGGAACAATGGGTTCTGACGGAACAATGGGTCCTAGAGGGACAGTAAAGATGCATTCCAAAAATGCGTGAAAAAAAAAAAAGAAAAGAAAAGAAAAGAAAAATGCGAAAGAAAAAAAAAATGCGTGAAAAAAAAGTGAGAAAAAAAAAAAAAATAAAAAGGAAATAAAAGAAAAAAAGAGAAAAATAAAAAGGGAAAAGGAGTGAAAAAAAAAAAAAGTCATACGTATTATTTGTTCGAGCAGAGGCCGCAATCTAACAAGTCTTCAGAGGCTTTGAAATTGATGTCTAACCCTATAGCATGGATATGTATATATAGATAATAAAATATCTTCTATTTGTACTGGGATTTGTATAATTCAGTTCAAATGGGAAAGTAAAATTATAATCCAAAATTGGATAGGAAAGCCTTTTACAATTCAAAGACCAAGTTGGATACTTCAAGTCCCACTTGAAAAAGGAAACAAGTCCTGTCAAACATGGGACTCGAAATGGGGGCAATTTGTAGACACTAAAATTTTTTGCACTTTTGTTTTGACAAATTTACCCATTAAATATGGGTCTCATGTTTAATTAAATTATTTAATTAGCCCAACCCAGATGATTAAATAAAAAGATAATTATTCCTAATAAAATATATTTGGAATAATTATTTTATAGATAATCATCACAATATAGTCGACCCGACCCAGTTATGATTTTGTCCTTATCAGGAGAGGATACGTGTCATCATCCTATTAATCCAAGAAGCCTATGAATAGAGGCCTAGAGGAAGGAGGAGAGGGGTCTAGAAATTCAAACTCAGAAATCCAGAGGGCCAGAAATCCCAGAGAGAAATACAGAAGCTCTGCCAACATTCATTCCCAATACCCAAACTTGAAGGCGAAGAGCAACAAGCACATCAAATCGTACCGTTCTTTATCAAATTCTACGGTAATCAACAACAAACACATCAAATCGTGCCGTTCTTCATCCAAATTCCACGGTGATCAATAACAAGCACATCCAAAGCCGTGTTGTTCTTTATCAAATTCAACAAATTCTCTCTGAAGGCACAACGAGCACATCCAAAGTCGTGCCGTTCTTCACCAAATTCAACAAATTCTCTCATTTCTGAAGACGAAGAACAACAAGCACATCCAAAGCCCGTGTCGTTCTTTCTCAAATTCAACAAAGAATAACAAGCACATTAAAATCGTGCCGTTCTTTCCCTGCGATTCAGACAAGTTCAAAGAATCATCAAACAGCACTGTTCGAGATCAAGCTTCATCAGTCCTCGATCAAAAATCATCAGCGATCATCTTCAACTACAAATACTTAAAGAAGATTGTCAGCAACCCGATTCAAGATCAAGCTCCAACAGCCTTTGGATCCAACCAACAAAGGAGATCGAATCAAAGGATACTTTCTTTCTTTTGTAAAGAATATCTCAGAGGATTATACTCAATTTTCATAAATTAATAAAATTCTATTTGCTCCCTATTTTGTTCTTTATTTGCAAACTATGAAATTTGTGTATACAGATGCATATACTTTTTGGGGAAAAAAAAAAATTCCCATTTAATTGAAGCATCATACTCAGTAGTCTCTATCTTCCAATCATGAAAATACATGAGATGATGATCAAACAGCAAAATATTCTCACTGACCTTCCCATTCCATTCTGACCAAATACCCCAGTGCGGAAACATGCCAACTTGGTAAAGGCCTCCACAATCCCATGCTTCTGCTATAAGCTGTTTGAAAGAAGTACAGAAAGTTTTAGTCATCTTTTTAATAGGAATGGCAGAAACAGAAATGCAGAAAATTGCCAACAGACGACAGAAACCAACACAAACATGTATAGTAGATAGAAAGTGTACACCTGCATCCAACCCTGGGAAGAACAAAATTAATTTTGACAATTTCTCACAATATTCAGGGCCTGTTCAGATTCGTTTTCAAATTTTCATTTCATCTCCTAAAATTTCAGAATGATTCCAACCAAAATTTTGAAGTGTAGTTGTTTTTCAGGTTTTAAAAAATTTTATTGATCTCAGGCTCTTGAAAGAAAAAATCCATCTGAAGTAGTTAGTAAAAATGGGTCCTTCTCTGGATATCTTTCAAAAATATTCCACCGTACTTGTTCAATGTACTCACGTATTTGAAAGAATTTCGTATCTATTTACACTTGGTTGCATTGGGCAGCCAACAAGGAGGCTGAATAATGGAGTCATCATCATGCTGACTGGTTTTTATCTTCTTACCTCATGGTGACATTCTTATCTCTCTTCTTTATATTTTATATTTGAAGAGAAAAGGAAGCTATTTTTAATCTACTTTCCTCTTCTTAAGATAAAAGGACACGTTAAGGTTTTCAGATGAGCACAAAGAGGAACTGTAGCAAATACCTTTACTCCACGAAGTATTGGATCATTGCTAATCATATGGACTAGTGGCGGGATGCTGAGAGGAGTGCCAGTTGTCAGCATGTCACCTTCTATTGGATTTCCATATACATTCGCCGCATCCCAGAGACTGGTGAAAACCAACATTAGAGGGGAGAAAGTGTAAAATTGATCTTCTTATAAACTTAACTATGTCTAAAATATCAGGTAGATAACCTGCTTCCCCTTGTCAAGATAGAAGCAAGATCAAAGCGGAAGCCATCCACATGCATTTCTGTTACCCAATATCTGTTGTCCATTAAAATAGAAAAGATCTTTTATTCTCATGTAGCAATAAAGATGACTACACATAAAATTAACACTAAAAACTTCAGTATAAAAGATTACAAACATAAAATAAGATAATAAATTATCCTTATATTGCCAAACATAAATTATATTGTATATTATCAATAAATGATCCATGATTAAAATTACTTGTTATAAATTTCTGGATACTGCATTCTTGATCATGTTAGTAATGTACCAAGTGAACCACTTCTTATTTCTAAAATTTGGGATAAAAAATCAACAAAACTCATAATAACATTTTAAAATTTCCATTAACGAAGTTATTAACATACTTGAACTTTTCTCAAAATATGTACAACTAGTACTCACATTACAGATATAACTGATTCAGGTCAAAAAAAAAAAAAAAAAAAAAAAACTCATTTATAATCTTGCGTAAATCTACCTCAAGCAGTCCAATATGAATTGGCGTACAACGGGATGGTTGCAATTGAAGGTGTTTCCACAACCTGAATAATTATAGAACTCTCCCTGAAAAAGGGTAAAACAGTAGTTACTTGACAATGATTATAACACTGAAGAAACATTATAGAATTTTAGGCATTCATAGTATTGAAATTCAGAAATACTCGTATTTCAGTTGTTAAGTTGTTTACTCCTGGACACAACTGGATGGCTTAAAAGACCTGCAACATGGGCTACTCACCAGTTGAGCCGAGCCTTAAAACTAATAACAGATATTACCGGTTCCTGATTAAAACCAATATTGTCAATTCAGTAGGCTGTACGCAATGGGATTTATCCAGTAGAATGCAATTTGCTGGTACCAGATAATTTGATGTTTTGTCAAACCAACCATAATGAAATTTATATATAAGAACAGTCACTGGTCATACTTTTTTAAGAAAATAAAAAACAATAAATCCAAGCATCAAAAACTTATTAGAAACACACACACACACACACAAAACCAGAGACAGAATTGATTGAGAAAAAAATAAGCAACATTGACAAGAAAAAGATCAAAATGGATCAAAATGACAAAATAACTAAATCAGCCAAAGTGGAATCTATTTTAGCCTATAGTAAATGGAAAATATCATGTCTGCTGTGGAAAATTCGGTTCTATAAATAAGGAAACCGTGTGTGTATAGCTGTAATTAGCTAAGGAAACCGTGTGTGTATAGCTGTAATTAGCTAGGAGATTTTGTAATGTTTTTAGTCATTGTAATCCCTGATTTTAGGGAATTAGTCTTTGGTCAATATCTCTAGGATTAGACAGTTCCCTAGTTTTAGAGTTTCGTAATTTAGATCCTCTGAAGTGTATATAACAGCTTAATTTCATTGTGATTTCAATACAATTGAATTTCAGCCCAATTTGTGTCATGGTATCAGAGCTGTAGGCTCAATTCTGGGAATTGTATTTCTGGTCTTGCGAACTCTCATATCGCTAGACTGATTATTATCAATCTCCAACCCCACACTATCACCCCTCAAGACCGTAACCCTTTTACCAAAAGACCATGTCAGAAACAGCCGACAACAGCAACACCACGACTACCTCGGAGGTTCCTTTGACTGAAGGCAGCAACTCGATTCCAACAGGGGAATTGCAGAACATCCAGGCAGCGTACAGGTTGAACAGGAAGAACTATCTAAAGTGGTCTCAATTAGTTCACACGTTCTTTAAGCGAAGAGGCAAACTGAGTCACTTACTCGGTACTGGGCCTAACAAAGGGGATCCCAAATTTGATGCTTGGGATGAACAAGACTCTATGGTGATGTCTTGGTTATGGAACTCTATGTTGCCAAAAACCAATGATACATGTATGTTTCTTAACACAGCCAAAGAAATATGGAAGGCCGTGAAGCAGACTTACTCTAAAGTCCGGGATGCTGCACAAATCTATGAAATCAAGACCAAGATTTCATCCACCAAGCAAGGAAGTCGATCAATCACAGAGTACTCCAATCTATTGCAGAGCTTATGGCAAGAGATGGATCATTACCAGTGCATTCAAATGAAATGCAGTGAGGATGCAGCCCTCCTTAAGAGGTTTGTCGAAAAAGACCGAACTTATGATTTTCTTGCAAGATTGAACATTGAATTTGATGTAGTAAGAGTCCAAATACTCGGAAAGGAACATCTGCCATCACTTAATGAAACAATTGCAATTGTTCGTGTTGAGGAAGGAAGAAAAGGAGTTATGATTGAGAATAACCCAGTGGACAGTTCAGCCTTGGTTACAAAAGCTGCAAATGTGAGGAACTTTGGCCAAGAGCAGCCATCTAATGAAGACAACAAGCGGGCAGATTTTACAAGGCCAGTCAATAAAGATTCCCTATGGTGCACATATTGCAAAAAGTCCCGCCATACTAGGGACAAATGCTAGAAACTCTACGGCAAACCGGAGACGGCAAACAAAAATTGGACGGCAAAAGGTGGACAACCAAAGGGATAAGGGCAGGCGTATATGGCAAATATACAATAGGCTGGAGGAGGTAAATCTCAAGAATCATCTATTGAGTTCGATAGAGAGGAAATTGAGAAATTGGAGAATCTGCTGGGATCTTTGGAGAAACCATCTACAACAGGTACTTGCACTTTGGAGTTCTCAGATATATCTTCCTCTGCTCATGCTTTTAAAGTTTCAGATATATCCACCACAATATCTTGGGTCATTGACTAAGGAGCTACAGATCACATGACCCACTCATCACAAAAATTTATCTCATATACACCTTGTCCTAGCAATAGGAAGATAACAATAACCGATGGTTCTATGACAACAGTGGCTGGTCAGGGAGATATTTTTATAAGCAGAACCCTCACACTTAGAAATGTTCTCCATGTACCAAAATTATTTACCAACCTTTTGTCAATCTACAAGCTCACTAAAGATTCTAATTGCAGTGTGGTGTTTTATCCATCTCGTTGTGTATTTCAGGAACAGGGCATGAGGAGGATGATTGGACATACTAGAGAAAGAGATGGTCTCTACCATCTTGAAGAACCCAGTGGTCAAGTTAGTGTTGCGAATTCCTCACCATTATCATTTCTTTCAAAGTCTTTTAAATCCAATAAAGACAAGATTTGGCTTCAACACCTCCGTCTTGGTCACCCGTCATTTAAAGTCCTTAAAATTATGTTTCCTTTATTGTTCAAAGGATTAGATGTTGAAAATTTTCACTGTGATGTCTGTGAACTTGCAAAGCACAAACGTGCTTCTTTTCAATAAGCGATAAAAGAACATATGTTCCACTTACTCATTCATAGTGACATTTGGGGACCGTCCACTATTTCTAACATTTGGGGACCGTCCACTGTTTCTAACATTTCTGGGGCTCGGTGGTTCGTTTCTTTCATTGATGATTGCACTCGTGTGTCTTGGATCTTTCTTATGAAAAATAAATCTGATATGAGCTCTGTCTTTCCTGTTTTTTACAACATGGTCAAAACACAATTTGGTACTGAAATAAAAAGATTTCGTTCTGACAATGCTAAAGACTATTTTAATTAGTTTCTCTCACCATATTTCCGAGAAAAGGGCAAAATACATGAATCTTCTTGTGTTAACACACCCCAACAAAATGGTGTGGCTGAACGAAAGAATGGTCACATTTTAGCTATTACAAGAGCATTATTGTTTCAAGAAAATGTTCCTAAGCAATATTGGGGGGGGGGAGCGGTTTTAACTGCTGCTTATATGATAAACAGATTGCCTACAAAGGTTCTTGATTTTAAAAGTCCTACGCAAATTTTAACGAAATTCTTTCCAAATTTCAATGCTTCAAAGTAGTCTTGTTCCCAAAATATTCGGTCGTGTTGCTTTTGTCCATGTGCATTCTCAAAACAGGGGAAACTTGATCCACGGGCTGTCAAATGCGTCTTTATTGGCTATTCTTCCACTCAAAAGGGGTACAAATGCTATCATCCTCCCACAAGAAAATTCTATGTGTCAGCTGATGTCACTTTTGTTGAAGAAGATCATTACTTTACTCGTCCTTATCTTCAGGGGGAGATCTCATTCACGGAAGATAAGGACAAGGATCTTTTTCTTCTTGATTTTCCATTATCCTCCTCCTCGGTTCCTGTCTTTGTTGTCCAGCCAAACACTCAGTCTGTTCCTATTGACACTCAGTCCATTCCTGTTGATCAACCTGAGCTAATCCAGCCTGAACCAAACATTCAGTCCGAATCCATACAACCTGAAACCGAGCCTCATACACCCAAGCCACAAGAGATGATAAAGGGAAAACAAATTCAAGACTCTACTCGTCCACTGCTGGTTTTTTCAAGAAGAAGGGCACCAATCACTCAATCTGTGCAGGTTCAATCACCCAAATCAACCCCTACTCTTGGACTTAGCGAGGTAATTACTGAACCTATTTCTAATGAATATGGTGTCACTGAAGTTCTTGATCAAAGTGATTATGATATTCCCATTGCTATTAGAAAGAAAACTAGAGCATGCACCAAACACCCTCTGTGCTTATTCATGTCATACAAGAATCTGTACCATAACCACAAAGCCTTTCTCACAAGCCTAAACACAATCTCCATTCCCAAAACCATATCCGAGGCATTAGGTAATGAGAATTGGAAGAATGCCATGAACGTCAAAATGGAAGCACTTGAGAATAACAAGACATGGGACTTGGTGAAATTGCCGAGAGGGAAGAAACCGGTGGGATGTAGATGGGTATTCACGGTGAAATACAAGTCAGATGGTTCGTTGGAAAGGTACAAAGCAAGGTTAGTTGCTAAAGGCTATACCCAAACATATGGAATAGATTATCTTGAGACATTTGCCCCTGTTGCGAAGATGAACACCGTTAGAGTGTTTTGTCATTGGCTGCTAATTTGGGCTGGAAATTACAACAATTCGATGTCAAAAATGCCTTTTTACATGGTGATCTCAAGGAGGAGGTTTATATGGAAGTTCCACCGGGGTTTGGTTCGAATACAAGACAGGTGGTATGCAGGTTAAGAAAGGCGTTGTACGGATTAAAACAGTCTCCAAGAGCCTGGTTTGGAAGGTTTGCCAAGGTAATGCTCAATATAGGATACAAATAGAGCCAAGGCGATCACACCTTGTTTGTAAAGCACTCGGCTTCAAGGGGAGTGACTGCATTGTTAGTCTATGTAGACGACATTATAGTGACAAGTGATGATTTGGAAGGAATAGAGAATTTAAAGAACTGTTTAGTGAAAGAATTCGAAATCAAAGAGCTCGGCAAACTAAAGTATTTTTTCGGCATTGAGGTAGCACATTCTCAGGAAGGAATTTTCATATCTCAGCAAAAATATGTAACAGATTTGCTGATGGTAACAGGCAAGTTAGGTTGCAGACCAGCAGAGACGCCTATAGAGTTCAACCACAGGCTTGGAGATGCTCTGGAAGACACGGCAGTAGATAAAGGCTCCTAGCAGAGACTTGTGGGAAGGCTTATCTACTTGTCACACACTAGACCAGACATAGCCTATGCAGTTAGTGTTGTAAGTCAATTCATGCACAATCCCAAAGAGTCACATCTTAGGGCTGTGTATCGAATCCTACAGTACTTGAAAGGCACACCGGGCAAAGGATTTCTATTTAAGAAGGGGGAGGAGCTAACTCTTGAAGCCTACACTGATGCAGATTATGCAGGGTCTGTAATTGACAGGAGATCTACCTCGGGTTATTGCACTTTTCTAGGAGGCAACCTTGTGACTTGGAGGAGTAAAAAACATAATGTTGTGGCAAGATCCAGTGCAGAAGCCGAGTTTAGAGCAATGGCACTTGGAATTCCGAATTATTATGGCTGAAAATTGTCTTAGAAGATCTAAGAGTCAAGTGGGAAGGTCCAATGAAGCTTTATTGTGACAATAAGTCAGCCATTAATTTTGCACATAATCCAGTGCAACACGACCGTACAAAGCACATTGAAGTTGACAGGCACTTTATAAAGGAGAAGCCTGACAATGGCCTAATTTGCACTCCATTCGTTTCCACTAGCAATCAACTTGCAGACATACTCACCAAAGGATTGTCTGGGACGTTTTTTCAGAGACTAGCAAGCAAGCTTGGAATGGATGATATCCATTCACCAGCTTGAGGGGGAGTGTGGAAAATTCAGTTCTATAAATAAGGAAACCGTTTGTGTATAGCTGTAATTAGCTAGGAGATTTTGTAATGTTTTTAGTCATTGAAATCCCTAATTTTAGGGAATTAGTCTTTGGTCAATATCTCTAGGATTAGACAGTTTCCTAGTTTTAGAGTTTCCTAATTTAGATCCTCTGAAGTGTATAAAACAGTGTAATTTCATTGTGATTTCAATACAATTGAATTTCAGCCCAATTTGTGTCATCTGCTTTTTTAGCCAAACAAAAAGAAATCAACAATAGTGATCTGACACCCTCAATTTAAGTCACCAGTCCAGTTTAGCAAGACTTGCAGCGTTCATCTCGTTGTCCTAAAAAAATGTGACAAGAAATCAGTTTCTGTTCCACTTATTTTGTACTTTCAGATACTTATAGACACACACATGGAGCTCATATATCAAGCATTAGTATCTCAATTTCTTAAAAGATTCCCACACGTCTGCTTTTTTAGCCAAAAAGAACGAAATTGATGATAGTGATGTAATTCTCCCAGTTTAAGCCACCGGTCCAGTTTAACAAAAGCTGCAGTTTTCATCTCCTGGTCTTAAAATATCTTAACAACAAATCAGTTTTTGTTCCACTTATTTTGTTCTATGAGAACTTGTAAACACATATGGAGCTCATATACCAAGCATTAGTACCTCAATTTCTTAAAAGCTCCCTACATTAATTTGAGAAAGTTCTGAGTGGGAAGCAGTTTCTTTTATATAGAAGATAAAATTGTATGCTGGCTGATCAAGAAATTAGTCTGGACAGAAGCACAGGATCTCCTTCTTTAAATATAAAATTAACCAACATTTATACAGGAATTTGAAGGCATTGAAAGAGGACACCTCCATTAACTATAAGTTTCAAACAAACGATATGTAGGTAAAAAAATTCAATAAGTAGAATCATACAATTTCTTCTGAAGAAATACACCGAAAGAAAAAATAATTTGGACAGTCATACCTTAGGCGCAAGCATATAAAAGACACTGTTATCAACACCCCTAAATGACAATATGGGACCATTCTCATTCCCTTCAGCGGTGTGATTGAAAACAACATCCATGAACACCTGTTAAAAAATAAATTAATATATAAATTAGAGAAAAATCTCACCAAAACTTTAAAGAAGAAATCCTAGACCATGTTGAAACAAGCTATCACCTCAATTCCTCGTTTATGTGCTTCTTTAATAAGATGTTTGAATTCATTTATTGCGCCACGGCCACAATCATCGGTACCCGCAGATGCATATCTTGTCATTGGTGAAAAGAAATTGACCGTTGAATATCCCCAAAAATTCACCCTAAAGAATTATTTTCCATAAGACCAAATATTCTTGTAGTGCCAAAATGTTCTTATTGAGTTTTTATGTTCACAAACTTGTGTATCTTCCCCTTCTAAAAAATGCAGAATTTTTTCTTCTTCCCATTTTTTTTTTTAAAGGTGGGATGGAAAGGCATCCATGACCTACAGGTTACAGATTATATGCATTACCATAGACAAAATTTTAATCAAGATACAAAAGCTAAGATAAGGGATTATTTTCCTATAAAAACTAGTAGTGGTATAAATTTATTTTTTATATATAAAAATAAATCCCCAAATTTGTAGAATCTTCCATACTATCAATGAATCAAAGAAAAAAGATAGAGAAAAGAAATAGTTCGTGAAAGGGTCAGAGTTGTGTACTTATAATCACCCAAGGCAGAATTGTAGCTGTAGTACTCCAGCTCATTGAATTCGTGACATGGCATTAGCTCTATACAGTTGATACCAAGTTCCTGCCACAATAAAAGATACATTAAACGGGAAAGTGGAAATTAATAATGCACAACATTCTTTTTATGATACATACAAAATAAGTACAAACTATAACCAACCTCACGCACTACAGTTAGATGGCTAATCCTTAAAGCAATCGTTCCAGATCCAATATTTCAAAAATATGGAGTGTACAATAAATTGTATTTTTTTGTGAAACTATTGAGCTCATGTAACTCAGCATAAAAACAATTATAAATTAGTCGAATACGCCCATAAAGAGACCACAGACACCGCTCAATAACTGAAACTCATTACCTCCAGGCTAAAATCTGAGATCATCACCCTATATCTCTAAAACTAATAAATATTTACTTGATCAATAATTTAAAATCTATATCCAAGTGCTCTAGTAGTCTACATATTGAAATTCTCATATAATGGCTGTTTGAGGCTGTCAAGTAAGGAGCATTTTAAGATGATCAAGTTCTAAAATTAATTACTCTTACCTTCAAGTGATCAAGTTTTTCCACTACACCACGGTATGTACCAGGAAAGTTTGCTCGACTTGACTCATGTCTTGTAAATCCACGAACATGCATTTCGTATATAACAAGATCTCTTTGTTGACACTTAAGGGGTAAATCTCCTTCCCAGTCAAACTGTAAAAGATCAACAAAAGTAAAATATGAAACCAAATTAGGTATAAAAAATAAAATAAAAAATCGAAACTTATGATATGGTATTTCTGAAAGATGGGGGCAATCAGAACTCAGAGTCATAATTTTCAGTTCAAAATCAGTTAAAGTCAACAAAGTTTTATCCTAACTATTCAGAGTCAGTTATAATGTTCAATTTAAAACAAGTGGGGAAAAGAATAGGAAAAAGGAGACCAATAGGTGATAATGCTTCTCCCGGAATTTAAAATCTAAAAATATACTCAATTCACCTCAACAAAGCACTACCCTAATTAATTGGAATTGGATACAAGATGATTCACCATTCTTCTAAATCTACAGATTCAATAAATCCATGCACTACAATATAATTCCTTAACATTTCATGCCATATCCTTCTTTCCCTAACACTTCTCTCAATGTAAACCATGTCACTCTTCTTCACTGGTACAATTATTGGCCTTCATTTCAGATGCCTGACCATCATCGTTGATTTTGTTTCATTTTATCTCCAATTGCTTCACCTACTTTCTTTCTTTCCAATCTAATCACCATTTATATTTGCATCAGTTGTAGATTCTACAAAAAGCAAATTAAAAAGAAAGTCAAAATAATAAAAGGCTAGGCTTGACCAGTCTCAGCAGAGCTCATCATAAGCTCAAGCAGACTAAACAAAATGCAGATTACGTAAGAGTGAGAAGCACGAACAACTCCACATTCGGCACAGATAGCTCTTTTCCTGCAATAGAAGTGACTCATCTTTTTCAGAAGCATACAAAAGCTAAGAGGAGTCTGTCCAGACCATAATCAAGACCACTCAGAGGACAGATTCTTTCAGTTTCAAAACATTGCGCGCGTGCATGCATATTAATAGGACATAGTAACAAAAAAGATGGTACAATTGCTTCACAATAAAAAAATGCTCTTTACACATACCAAAAGGAAATGTTCTTTGGACATGGAAATAGGATTGTCTAAAAGCAAGGTAGCCCATTTAACCGAATGAATAAGGCCAGAAGGAAGAAGACAAATTCCTATACCAAAGATTTGTGAACAACCAAATATATTACAAATCATGATTCACAAGTAATCAGCTGAAAAATGGAATTAAGCATAGTAATGAGAAAAACCTGTCCGAATCTGGATTTATTACATTTTAAAAAGAATCTCCCGTTTAAAGGCAAGAATTATAGCATAAAAATTTTGATGTTTGATCCTAATAAGATTTTCAGAGAATAAATCTCCTGTAGAAAGAGAAGATATCTAGAAATAAAAATTTGACACTTTTTTTTGGACATTTTGAAGTAAACTTGATGCAGAAGGAAATCAGAAAGTGCAACTATTCGCAGGCAAAAGTATTTATAACCTAAAGATACGACCGGTGAATGATTCTCCAAACTGAGGGTAAAACTGTTCCAAGATTAAGCACAAAGAATGGATAGTAGGTCAGATCCCAGAATGATGAAGGAAATGCCTTGTCAAATACATGCAGGAGTTTTTCTAATGCTATAGCCTATACGATTTCGAGTGTCAGAAGACGTCTTCATCCACATCTAATCTTGGGATTTTTTTTTAACTACAATGCTTTATCAAAGATACACAACTACTGCAGTAGAAGTATCTATACATATTCATTACCTCATCATTGGCAGAAGGTACCATGCAGGCCATTTGGGGCCAGCAACTTTCTACAGGTCCCAAAATACCAAATTCCCCTCTGCTTACAACTGCCTGAATATGTGACAGGAAAATCAATGCACAACAAAAGACAAGTAAAACACATTGCAAAAAGTATACAATTGGGATGCACAAACTGGATAGAAGGATATCATATGTTTTAAGCAAAAGATGCAATGGAATAGGCCACTAACTTTAGCATAAGGGTCCAACAGTATTTGAGAAGAATTGTAGTACTGTCCTTCTTCAGGACAAAACTTCCCATCAAATTTGTAGCCATATAGCATATCTTTAAAATCTCCTTTCAGAAATACATGCCAGACATCTCCTGTCTTATTAGCCAGTGGATCCAGAAAAATCTGCTCAGTCACTCTTTTCTGCATCAGAAAAAATGGTATTAAAAGAATATAGATAATTACGATTGCCATATATTCAGTTGAATAACAGCTCAAAACTATCAAAACAAATGAAAAAACTCAAAGACTATGAAAGCAAATGAAAACACCCAGAATACATGAATTGTTGCAGGCTGCCACTTTGTTCATGCCTCATATTTTAAAAAGTCCACAACTATATTGACATGAGATAACTCCTAAAAGAATTTTATCATGAAAATATGGGCTTCCAGATGCCAAGTACAATGATATCATTTGACAAAGCATATTTCTTGTGGTTTCATGCACTCATTTTCCAGTCAGCAGGGCTTTAACTTGCACGCAGTGCCTATTTTTATCTACACCTTCAACAAATTTTAAATGACGTGGCTGACCAGCAACTAGGCATTTACGGTGTGTCCACAACCTGCCTGGTTAGATTCTCCTGGCTAACCAACTGTCAACTCCAACCAAGTCCTCTCACAACTATAACCCCTTCTAGAATTGGTCCTTACACCTGTGAGACTGACCAATGGAAGCCATCCTCCACATTTCAAGACAAGCATGAGATTGAATAAATCAGAGTCCTTTTTTTCATCTTGCTAAAGACCCTCCTATCCCACAAAGGGCAGTCTTCCCCCAACCCCCCCACAACTAAACCCAACTTCCTCTGGAGGCCTTCCTGCTACCAAACCACCGAATCTAAAAACCTAACACCCCAAACATTTTCCATAGTGGCTAAAGACAGGGTTCCCATCATTGTCTCCTCGGGTGAGTGAGAGTCAAGCCTGGCTTTGACCTTGAAGCAATCACTCATAGGAACCCATCAGCAGAAAGAGGGTGGTTCATTCTCAAAAATCCAATCCCTCACATCCAAAATCCTTGCCTCCTCGACTGAATGGAACACAAACAATAAGACAAATCCATTGAGATCCATCACTCTAACCTCAAGTAGCCTCTGTTTACCTAAGAAACATGGATATGGACAGGAATCTTTAAAAAGTAGGACCCGTGTCTAGAAGAAGGCAATAGAATATATTATTTTTATATGAAACTTATGTTATACAACACAGATTGATATTCTATGATAAAAACATGAAATTTGTAATCTATGATTCATGGAATTATAATCTACACTATCACAACACAGAGAGAGATAAAGGACACAATGAATGTCTATATGAATGTACTTGTGTGTGTTTATATGTGGATAAGCAACATTCAAGGTGATTTGATATTAACAAATGTCTAATATGGACTCGGCTCTTCCTAGAAGTATCTATGCCTCTCAGCCTTTTAACATATGCCTGAATCCTACTTGTATCCCACATCACAGCTGCCACACGACCAACCAAACATCTTGTAAGAAAACACAGCCATTCAACATGACGTCAATTTGGGCTCCTTCACTCTTCATACTCTAACATACATAAACCCACTTGCCCATAGGAAGCTAGAACCAAAGCTTCACACAACCAAAGGATACCACAATGATCAAAGACAGCATTTCAAACCACTCACCATCATGTGTTACCAATTGAACCAATGAATCTGACCCCTCCCAACATCAGTCTGTTCAAATAATTTTCCAACATAATTATCTTACAAGAGCTCATCCACAGCTTATACCATCTTGAGGAAAAAATTCTCAAAGGAAAGGTTTTCTACAACCTTCCCCATGTCAATATTTGATCACAAAATGCTTACATTGGTAGGCATCAAAATCTTCAGTGCACCACAAGTTGAGGAATTGTCATTGTATCAAGTTCCATATTAAGCACACATTGACCCCAAAGCCTAATGGTTGCCATGGTTAATTTTTTGTTTGTTGGTAGCACTTATGCCAGACTCTGTGCTATTGAGTTTCACTATTCCAATGTCCAACTTTCAGGATTTGTCTTTATGATCCACATCACATTCAAACTCCACCTTCAATAAACTTAGTAAAGTGTTATCACAATAATTTGAAGTTAATTACATATATCTTATATCATCATTCCGCTTTATTGAGTGTAATATCCTAAAAGTTAAAAGGACTTGGATTAAGTAAGTAAAATATTTTAACGGTGATTACATTGGAAATAATGAAAGTAGGTGGTGGGAAAATAAAATAGATAAATGAAGAAAAGATGGATGGATTTTATAGTGACAAGTGTCAAAAAATAATAATAATAAATAAATAAACAAAACAAATGTGTGTCATCAAATTAAGGAAGATACAAGACACTTGTACCATTAGTGTTTTCATATGTGGTGGTGCATGTGTCTCATAAATATATATATATATATATATATATATATATATATATATATATATATATAAATATGTGCATACATTATAAATCTTCCAAGAAAAGCTTTGACTAAGTCTCTAGTGTAGTATATTTATATAGAAGAAATGAGAAGAAGAAAAGGAGGACAAGAAAAAGACACGGCCAGAGAAGAAAAGGAAGAAAAAGAGAGAAAGAAAGAAAGAGAGAGAAAGAAGAAGAAAAGGAAGACCCAGATCTAGCCATGGTAGAGAAAGAAATCTGGAGAAAATTCAAAGTAAAGCCCAAAGAGGTACTTTTCCTCACCATACCTATTTTTGAATGAGTTGATTTCTAAATTGTTAAATATTGGAAATTTCTAAAATTGTTTTCTCATAAGTGAACTAGTTTTTCATGCCTTGGTGTTACCATGGCATTAGAATTATTTTTCCTTAAAGTACCATTGAAGTATTTCCTTATAAATTTCGAAGTAATTGGTTAACTTACGCTTTCGGAAAACAGGGCGTGACAAATTTGGTATCAGAGCCCAGTAGTAGATTCTTTGGGAGTTTAGGTGTATTGGATATGTGATATGAAATATATTCGATGATAAAAGAGATGACTTCTTTAAGTACAACGAATCCTACATCTGTAGGATTATGTATTGAAAATTGAGAAATGTATTGCAATTTTAGAATGGAATAGAAATTGCGTGTTCAATGAAGTGAGGACCAAAACTTTTCGATTGGATTGAGGTCTTGGAAAGAGTGATGCAATTATTTGACTTGAGGTTAGGTGTTGCACCTTAGAAATCATTCTCAAAGGAATTTTTACAAGTATGCAATGAGGACAATGGAGCCAATGTTAAATCCAAATAGTGGAGTAATGATCTGTTCTAGATTTCTAGGTTGTGAATCTGTGGCAGCCAAACATCGACCTCAGGCTCTACTCCGCACCCTTTCCGAGAACTTGATTCTGTGGTTGTGGTACATGATAGATAGAAGTATGGGCTAAAGCGATATATAATTAGAAAGGCTACTCCCCCCTGTAGCTTGGGGAAAGGGATGGAGGGGAAGAGGGTGGAAAAGCCTCTCTTTTTTATTAACAGACATTTGCTTCTGCTCTCGAAGACTCTCTTCCCACTACGAAGCCCAAGCCCAATTGCTACCTAGATTGATAGTGACTTCTTGGTTGTCTATGTTGTAAGAGTCTCACCCAGAAAAAGAATGAAACTCTGCTTCTTGATATCTTCGATCTCAAGTTTTTCCAGTTTCTTCATCAGTGAGCTTTTAGATTCAGATTTCAAATGGAAGTTGTATATAAGCTTAATGATGAGCTTGTTGGAAATTTAAGTGCATAATTAGAACTACGGAATGAAATCTGTCTATGGATTAAAGTATGGTAGAATATCGCTGAATGTTAATTTGGAGTTTAGGCCTATCAATTCTTAAATGATGGATTTGATTTATCCGAATGTATGGTTGGGAGTTATATTTAACTAGGGTAAAAGGATGTTATATTAAAAACTTCAGATCCTATTGGTTAAGATGTTTGATGAACTTAGTTATTGGGAGCTATATATATATAATTTGGCAGAAGATTTAGCATTAATGTGACCCAAACATCTTTACAAGGCAAAGTAACCAATAATGAAAATTTTGAGAGATTTCTTGACGGTGTCAACTTTGAGGGATTCTAGACTTCCAGGTTTGCATTCATTGGAATGAAGAAAAGTAACTGTGTTTTACTAGTCAAATTATAAATCTATGAGGAGATGCAGATCTCTAATAAAAGTGTGGTTGTGTAGTAACTGAGGAATAGTAGGGATGTCAATTTGAAATGATATTCTGAGCAACAAAAGTTAGAAATTGTGGATTATGTGAGATACTGATACATGATGAATATTTTGGGGCTTGTACGCGGATTTTGTTTCTCTGGTGTAATGCTACTCTTGGGGAGATGCTATTTCTCTAGGTTTACCTTGATTTTGATATTTAAGAGTTATTGATTTTTAAGTAAGAAATAGACAGGAAAGAGATCATTAACAAATCTCTAAAGAGTGTTTGTGAAAACATTTTCTAGACTTCCTGCACATTCTAAATTAAGCAGTTTGCATTTCTGGGTAAAGATATGATGTTCTCTGTCATCAAGCAGGTGTTGAAAATTGATTGCTAATGTTGGAGTAATTTCTATGATAATAAAGGTGATGTTATAGAACTAGTGGAGCTTTAGTTAGAAAAAGTATTGATGTTATTATTGAGGTTTCACCAGATGAAAACTCTCGGTAGTAAATAATATAGGAAATATAAGAGTGGGGTATTTTAAAATTTGAATAGCTTCGTTTCAATGGTGACATTTAATAAGATTGTTGATGGATTGCAGGAGTCATTCTCAAGTTGGAGTACCTGATCCTAGCCTTTGTCATAATAAGAGGTGATGATAAGTTTGACAGTGGAATTCAAACTCTATAAGATATATATCAGTCATGTTCATTAGTTGTTTGTTTACTAAATAAAATGTATCTGAGACTGTTGGTTTTGGGAGTGATACATTATACCATTGTACAATTTTGCTCAATTGCTTTCAAATGTAATGAGGAGCATTTTGTGTATTTGCTAATGTTATGAATGAAGGTCGTAGGATTTGCTCCTTTCGTGTTCAAATTATTCTCTGAACCTGAGTTGGAGCCAATACCTTTAGTAGTTGATAGTAAAGCCAACAAAGGAAATTTATTTAACAAGTCTAGTAAGTGTTTGTTATGAAATAAGGTGAAGAAAACATTAATCTTTACCCAAAGACACTTGTACTATTAGTGTTGCCATGTGTGGTGGTGCATGTGTCTCATAAATAAATATATACATATATATATATGCAGGGGCGGACCCAGGAATTTTAGTTGGTTGGGGGGTGGGGGGTGGGGGGAATTTGCAGGCAACTTGTACTATGTAATTAAATATGAATTATTTTAGAATCAATTGTAATATAATTTTGTTTATAGTATAAACCTTGAGAAAATCCAAAAAAAAATTGCAACCTAAATAAACAGAAAAATTTGATATGAGAAAGAAATAAATAGAGAAGAGGAAACTATAATTTATAAGTAAAAAAAAAAAAAAAAAGAGGTAAAGAAAAAGCATTGGTAGAGAATTAATAATTCTTCAACAATTGTTTCAATTTTTGGAAAAACGTTTTGAATACTTTGATTCCACTTTGGAAAAAATATATCATTATTATCTTCATGAAAGATTAAGAATTTTTTGCTTCACTTTTCGGGAAAAACAAAAAAAAAAAAAAAAGATTAAGAATTTTAACTAGATAAAATTTCGCAAGTTTTAGCAAAACAAGATTATTACTTTAGTAATATATACAACAGTAACCATACAAAAAACACTCCAATCCAATCTCCATGTCTAAGTTCACAAAAACATTCATACATATCAATCCTGCACAATTGATCTCAACTCAACTCGAGAAAGTCTCTTCCCAACTATTTGGGATTCGTTATATGAATCAAGTTTCATAATTATGCTCCATCTAACCTCATTATTTTAGTGAAGCTGTGTTGCCTTGTCCTATTATATCTCAACTCAGTCTTGGTCTACATGTTTCTCTCTAACCTTCTTATACAAACCAATCTTCCTCTTCTCACTAATGCATCTATAGGTCCGTGTTAAGCGAGAGAATCACCAAAATTCTTTGCTCATTTGATAAATTTCTTCACATGGTAAGTTCATTAGATGAATTTCTTTCTAAGTTAATCACATGATAGCATGCGCAATTATTATTACTAATTTTCCAAATCTTCGGGTTTGGAATTACTAGTTGAGTTTGATGCAATTGAAACACGAGTTTCTGCCAATATCACAAGTAAGAGCACATTAATTAGCCCAATCATGCTAAATAAATAAAATGAATATAATGTTGTAATTAAGATACCAGTTCCAAATGTGAAAAATAGTCAAGTTCACATCATCACAATTTGCTTTCACACTTTCCTGAATTTCTTTCCCTTTCTTCACTTTATTTCGTCTTTTTAAGGTAGAGTCGGGTCATGAATAACTCTTGAGTCCCAATTCTAATTAATCATATTCTATTAACCAACTCAAATAAAAGCATCATTACTAGACCAAGCCTTCACCAAAAAAAACATTGAAAAAATAAAAATAAACAACCACAGCAATAAAATCTGATTTTCAAATTCAAGAACATGAGTGTTGACATTAGGGTTCACAATGTATGAAACTACAAGCACGTCAATAAACAGGTTGTAGCCTAAGTGTGCTTTCCCACCTCCCAAAGTAGAAGGTCTAAGGCAACTCATCATAGGGGCATGTGGGGTTTGTGTGACTTTCTTTGACAGGATAATAGATATATACACACACAAAGTGTTTAGCACTAGTCCGGTTTGATGAAGTAAACAGTTTCAAGTATAAAATTTAGCACAAATTGTCTCTAAACATTAACAAAAACAAGAAAACACGTGTAAAAGATAAAAAAAAAAAAAAAACAAAAATATAAACAAATTTGATACCACCAATTTACCTCCTCTATATCTGATATAGTCATCAAGCACAGAGTCGCCGATACCGCATTGGTTGAATAAATCGCGAAATTCACTCCACCGTCGAGAGCAGTAGCCCCAAACGGCGCCGGATAACCCTCGAATACCCGAAACCGCCGCAGTTTCGGCTTCTCCACCACCGCCCCTCCATCCCTCGCATTAACAACCAACGACTTCATTTTCGAACCATTTTCTATCAAACCCAAGCTCAAATCACTCTTGTGGCTTTGCTTTCGGAGTTTTTTCGGCAGATTCACGTATTGATTGTTCTGAGGACTGCACTTAGGAGTGTATACTAAACATGAAGCACGTTGAACTAACTCCATTGAAATCCAAGAATCGGGTTTCTACATGCGCGACACTGTGAGATCAAAAAGAGAACCGATTAAATTCGCTTTAAGTGTAACTAAGATGAAGGAAAATAATTTAAATCAAATAAAGAAGGCACAGAGGCTAGTATGGTGTACTGTGTATACAGTTGAAAGAGGGGGAATCATCTGATCTTCGAGTCTGCGGTTTTAGAACTGTACGTCAAGCAAAAGAGACTCTTATTAAATAATAAATAAACAAAACAATGAACAACAAAAAAAAATACTTAAATGAAAAAATATATATTTGATCTAATTCATTTAAACCCAATATTTAACCTAGTGGGATTTTTTAATGACACACGTCATTACAGAATAAAAATTAAAAAAAAATGAAATAAATTAATGCCCTAATTAATTTAACATAATCAGGTGACACGTGTGGATTGAAATAGTATTTTATTGGGATTGGGATTAAGGTTAAATAAATGTTTGCATGATTTAAATTGTTTTTTTCATTTGATTTATGCATTTAATTTCAATATATTACACGGTAAGATTTCAAAATCATTAATAAAGAGCCCTACTTTATAAAATGTAATGAAATTTGACTAGACTCTAATATACTACTATTTCGGTCCACATTTTATATAATGTGAAAAGGTGATAATAATTTTTTATGTCTTAAATTTTTTTTTTTTTTAAGATGTCTAACATTGCTCATATTTACTTGAACTCTAATAAACAATTTGAAGTTTTTACAATTGAATTTCTTATGTAAAGCCTTCATCATCTTGAATTTTTACAATTAAATTTCTTATGTAAAACCTTCATCACCTTTATTTTTATCACATATAAGTGAGTCGGTGAGATAAATTATATTGATCCATTATATTTTATCATATGCCATATCAACTATTATTTTTTTTTCTTTCATATTTATTCTTAACATTCCCATTTTTGTCACGTAAATGGGTTATTCAGTTTTCATTTTTGCCACTATATAAATTACTATAAAATAGTCACCCTAATCATTGTTTTGAGTTTATCATGGAAACCCAACAACCCCACTAGCATTATTTCACTTTGTCCCACCTTTTTCAATTTTACTACTAACGTTATCTTCAGTCTCTTCATTGTGTATATGAATGATCTTAAGTAACAAAATAAATACTTCACAAATGATCCTAAAGAATTATTTTAAATAATGTTTTGCTCTTTGAGTATCATCTATAACACCACTAAATTTACATTTCATGTATTGTGTTTAAATTATAATGAAGAAATAAATAAATAAAAGTAATAGAAAATAAAATGAAATTTGTATTCCAAATCACACAATTTTTGCAATAGGGTGACGCTTTTACACTCTATACACAATTTTGCTTTCATTCCCGTGATTTAGATTTTGCCACTTTTGCATTCCTGCTCTCACTAGTGAGACTTAGATTGTAAAAAAATATATATGTAAGATATTAATTAGTTTTGGCAATTATCGTTGACATAACAAGTCCAAGTTGAGTTGTAATTGTAATACTTGTATTACAAGTCATTGAGGTCGACAAGGACTACAAAATTGGGAAGAGGTTTGAACTTACCATATTTGAAGAGTTTATGAAGAAAAAGGTAAAAACATCGTTATAGGAAGGTATATGAACAAGGTTGGACATTCTACCTTACCATGTTGATCTACAATTCCTGTAGAATGAAACAAGGCTGAAAGAATTCGAAATATCCAAGTCTGCCAACCTTGAACCGATTCAGCTTCCTTGAACCGGTTCAAGATGTTCAAGGTTGAATTACTGCCAAACTTGAACCGGTTCAAGAACTCCTGTTTGCAATACAACTACAGTTTCCTCTTTCTGATTTATTTCCAAGTTGGTCTAGAATTATACCAAATCATATGCACGAAATTTACCTTATTTTCAGAGATATTAGGTCATTCTATACTCTATATAAACAATGTCATATACATTGGTTTATTCACGGCTTTTACATTATTATTCAAATTTTATTCAAAGCCTTAGGAAGATTATTTTTGCAGAAAATCAGAGTTGATTTATCTGATATCTTTTTAGAACACATACACATAAACAGAGTTTAGAGTTATGGTGCTCAAATCCTGATTGTGATTATACAGGTGTATTACCGTCAATCATTCAAACGATTGAAGAATATGAGTAAATGCAGTCACACTTTGAAAGGGTTGGAGTATTCGTGGAGTATTGTCTGATTTACCTGCTTCTCTTCTACAAGTATCAAGTGTAAGTCTAAGGTCGAGTTGCTGTTGGACGGGGAGTCACAAAGCTAGATGATTGTCAGCGATTGGTGTGGTGTAAAATGATAGGGTGTGAGCCAGAGTCAAAATTCGGTATACTTTATTTCAAGCATAGTGGATTGGTTTACTTTGGATTGCACAAGTCCACGAGGTTTTTTTCCCATTACAATTGACGTATTTTATCAACTGGGGTTTTCTCCCTAAAATCCTGGTGTCATCTATAGCTTTATACTTTGCTTTATTTTACTGCATGTGATTAATTGTTTTACTGTTAAAATAAGTAAAGTTGGTAACGACACAAATCTGTTTTAAACTTTCCTATATACATTCCGCTGCGTACGACTCACAATATATATATATATATATATATATATATATATATATATATATATATATAATGTTTTGAAAGCAATCAAGCTAAGAAAATAAACAAGTGGGCGAATTGCAAAAAATCCCCATCAACTATTACTCAGTTGCGAAAAACCCACATTATAAATATTTTTGGCAAAAAATCCCCCTAAACTATCCCAATGGGGGTGTTTTTAACTGATGTCCATTTAAGTGATTTTCGGACAAAATTACCCCTTAACAAATTTATTTTTCAAACAAGCTTATCAATTCAAATCTTTATCGTTGCATTTATGGATCGAATGAAAATAAATGGATACTACAGAGAGTGTGACATATATGGCATCTTCCAAATTCAATATTCAAATAATCACGTATATTCAAATAGGGTGCATGCCTCTCTTTTTGTGATTGTAATTGTTATAAATCTTATGTTGATGCTTGAATTTTGGTGGTTGTTTATGTTAATATATATGCAGTGAGGATATTAGTAATGTTCTTCTGGCTTGAGTATTACTTTTGCTATATAGCTTATCAAATTAAATCTTGATTTTTTATGGTTGCTTAAAATTATGTTTCTTCTATTTGATTTGTCGTTATAATGAGAGAAAGTACAAATAAATAAAGAAAAGGAAAAACAATTTTAGAATAAAATAAATTTAAAACCTCAAAGTGAAAGATGATCGAGAAAATTACATAAAAATTAAACATTTTATTATTCTTTATTTATTTTTATAAAAATTAAACAATTGCTTATTTATTTTAAAACATTTTATGGAGAATAATATGTTAAAGGGTAATTTTGACAAAAAATTATTTCAGAAAATCACTTAAACGAACATCAGCTAAAAACACCCCATTGGGACAATCGAGGGGGATTTTTTGGGGGGGATTATTTCCCAAAAAAGGTTCATAAGGGGTTTTTCGCAACTAGGTAACCGTCAAGGGGGTTTTTTGCATTTCACCCTAAACAAATTATTGTTTTCCTAAATTATTGCTTTTTTTTTATAAACAAATCATCATAATCATTGGTTTTTTTTTTTTTTTCCCCTTTCCCATAATGAATAGGTCTTATATCATGTTATAAATGAATGAGGTCTAGTACAAGCTTTCGTATCATTTCCCATCTTACTTTTAATTTCTCTTAAATATATACTACATATTAATTTAATTTCATGATAATTTTAGTTGGTCTCCCTGATACTCTGAGTCTCATGCATTCTATGCAAGTTAATATTTTATTTCATACAAGCACAAAATAAGAGTGACTTTCCAAATTTTCTCTAATTTTCATTGTTTAAATTTTACTATTTTGTGATTTCATATTTATAATGACCCGGTCATTTTTCTTCCTTTCATTTTTCTCAAATTTTACAGATAAATTTTTTCCATAGTTATTTTATTTTCTCTCATCACTTGGTGTCGTCTCGAGTGCTCGAGAATAGTTTCTGAGGCTCTTTCATTTGGATTGACAACTTCCTTGTTAGTACCGCGTCATTTCCACATTTTCGTTTTATGGCACTATTCACTTTTTGTCTTTTCCACGTTCATCACTTTTTTGGCGTAACCACACTTTTCGTGTTCGGAGTTGAGTTTTGACTTCATGAGTTTTCATTACAGTTGTTTTTCTCGAAACGCGTAGTTTTACTTTTGGAGAAAAACTCGCCGGTTGCTTCCTTTTCTCGTAGGGGAATGGATGAAATGATTTTTCAGAAACATTTTGGTTTCTTGGGGTATTTTTCATAAATATCTTTTGAAGATATTTATTTCAGGGGTTTTTAAGAAAATATCTTTCATTATGGACCAGTTATGCAATCATCTCTTTTTGTGGGGGAGCTTGGATCCTCGTATGGGATTAATTTTCACTTTTCGTCTAGTCGTGTACTCTTATAAATGTCTTCTGGTCGTTTTTCCCAGTTTTAGGGTTTCTGACCTCGGTTGTCGCCGAACTTGCTCGGGCATATCTTTCTGCACGAGATTCAGTTTTTTACCCCGTTTATTCCGTCGATTATTTTATTTTTTTCATTTCAGTTATTTTTCATTCACAGTGTTTTACCGTTTGAGCGCGTCTGCGCAAATTTCACTTTTTCGGATCCGACGAGACCCGTTTGAGGCACTTTTAGGGTTTTTCTATAAATAAGGGAACTTTAAAAAGAAAAGGTCAACTTTCTCTTTTTTTCACTCTCTTAGCCGACAGCCATGGCAACACAAGGGGCTGTCACCATTCTTTCTTCTTTTTCGGCTTCTTCCCCTTTGAATTTTACCGTGATGCCTTAGGAATTATTGTAGGCCTTGGCGAGGCCGTTCTTTCCCCTCTATTAGAATTCGTTTTCAACCATTTTTGAGTTCGGGCTTGGTTTTTGGTAGTGTCTCGTGAAGGATTATTGTTCCTTTCGTTGTCCCCGTCGTAACTCCGAAGTATCGTCGGATTCAGGGCGGTTTCCTTTTGGTGGCTTTTGAGATTTTCATCTCAAATTGAGGTAGGGGATGTTTTAGGATTATATATGTGTTGTATTGAATGTATTTTGTGCTTATACAACTTGTATACATGCCTTTATATTAAATCTAAAAATTTAATTATTTCTCTGTATAAGATTCAATTCACACGATTATATAT